CCTGTATTTGGTGTGTGTGTGTGTGTGTGTGTGTTCGTGTGTGGTATAGTCTACAGCTCTAAGGACTGTGATGAATTGTGTGTGTGTGTGTGTGTGTTTGTGTGGTATAGTCTACTGCTCCGAGGGCTGTGACGAACACAATAACACAAGATCAAATCAAGCTTAAGAGAAAACCATGCAATCAAATGACATTACACGGCGGCTGGAGAGATGGCTCAGGGATAAGAATGCTGACTGCTCTCGCAGGGGACCCAAGTTTGGCTCCCAGCACCCACACTGGATGGCTGATAAGCACCTGTTAACTCCAGCTCCAGGGGGGTCAGATGCTTCTGGTGACACCTGCCCTACCAGAGCAGTAGGTACTCTTAGCCATGAGCCATTTCTTGTAAAGAATCTCTACTATAGTAGAACAGTCATGGAGTATATGTGATATGAAGGTGTGGAGAGGGGACTACTAGGGAGGGGAAAGGGACCAGCAAGAGGAGAGCTGGGAGGAGGGGAGGGCACCCTCCATGGGGGAGGGGCTAAGAACAAAGTCTGATGAAATGTATGTATGAAAACGTCCTGATGAAGCCCCTAACTTTGATACTAATTTAAAAAGGAAACCAGGGCTGGCGAGATGGCTCAGTGAGGAGAGGTGCTTGCTGCCAAGCCTGACAACCCGAGTTCAATCCCTGGGACTCCCATGGTAGAAGGAAAGAACTGACTCAGTAAGTTGTTCTCTGACCTCCACACCCTTCCTATGGCATGTGTTTGCCCACACACACACAGACACTACATAAATAAATGTGATTTTTTAAAAAAGAAGTGGAAGCCAAGCAAAAAAAGAACAGAACAAAGAAATCTCACCTCACTAGTCCCCAAGACTGCGGCTCTCTTCTCAAACAAACCATTCCCAAAAGTAGCCTCCCTTGCCACCCCAATCTCAAGCTTGGCCTGTTATTCTATGCACCTCCACTGGGAGTCCTCCTCAAGATCCTCCAGAGCACATCTGACTGTCAAGGGAAGACGGAGCACCACTAAGACAGGAACCTCAGAAGGGCAGCAGACCTGAAGGCTGGTCAGGCTGTCAGTAACCATGGAGCTGGGAAGCCTGCGTCCCGCCACCACCCAGTCATACAGACTGGTAGAAATTTACCTTTGTTTTCCTGTCTACGTCTCCCCATTGTTTCCAAAAGGGCCTTTGTTTAGCTAAGCTTTCGATACCAAAGCCGCAAATGTTCCTTAACACAGACGATAAAGCCGACTTACCTTCTCTACTGCTTTCTCGTTAATTAACGGGCCTTGAGTTGTCCCCTCCTCGAATCCGTTACCTACACGCAGGCTCTCGCGCATTGCTTCAGCAAATTTCTTCACAAAGGTGTCGTGGACGCTCTGCTGCACCAGGAATCTATTTGAGCAAACGCACGTCTAGACAGAAGACAAAAAATCTACACTTAGTTTTAGTTTTTTAAACATATTTGTAGGGGCTGGAGAGATGACTCAGCAATTACAGGCACTGGCTGCTCTTGCAGACGACCCAGGTTCAATTCCCAGCACCCACATGGCAGCTAACAACCATCCATAACTCCAGTTCCAGGGGATCCAATACCCTATTCTGACCCCCATGGGCACTGCACGACATGGGTGCACTCACACACATGCAAGCAATACACTCATGCACATAAAATTAAAAAGTAATAAAAAACAAGTTGTGTGAATGAAAAAACCAAATACAAAAGAGCCAAACCACATAAGCAAAAGCGGCACAGCAAAGTGGGACGAACCCAGCTCAACGTGCTATTAGAAAACAACAGGTAGGAGCTGGAGAGATGGCTCAGCGGTTAAGAGCACTGACTGCTGTTGCAGAGGACCCGGGTTTGATTCCCAGCACCCACATGGCGGCTACGAACTGTCTTTGACTCCAGTTCCAGGGGAATCCGAAGCCCTCTTCTGACCTCCACAACACTGCATGACATGGGTGCACTCACATACATGCAGACAATACACTCATACACATAAGATAAAAATCATAAAAAAAAAAAGAACGACGGGGTAAAGGTGAGACGCCTGGGACCTTCCTGAGCCGCAGCCATGTGTCGCCACAGCAGAGCAGGGGATGAAGGATAAGCTCAAACGCCAACTCACATCCCCCAGCTCAGACCTTCTGAGCATGTGGTCGGCTCTATTGTTTAAAAAACCTTTAATCCCAGCACTGGGAGGCAGAGGCAGGCAGATCTTTGTGAGTTCGAGGCCAGCCTGGTCTACATAGTGAGTTCCAGGATAGCGAGGGCTACAGGGAGACCCTGTCTCAAAAAAGACAAAACAAACAAACAAACAAAAAAACCCCAAAATGGACACATGACCCTTCTTTCAGGGCTGGAGAGTTGGCTGGGTGGCTAGGAGCTCACGGCTGGCGGGCGCTCTGACAGAGGACCTGAGCTGGGTTCTTGCACCCATGTCGGGTGACCCACAGCTGTCTATAACTCCAGCTCCAGGGGATCCAACGCCCTCTTCTGTCTCTGCAGGCAATGCACACACACACAAACCTCTGCAGGTGTTAGGGAAAGAGGAATTTACTGTTTGTCTGAATTTACTGCTTGAATTTACTTGTTTGAATTTACTGCTTGTAACCAATTAACTCAACTGGAGACACAGGCATCCGGAGATAGGGGCAAGTGCTGCAGCCCCCGGAGCCTGACCTGTCTGATCTGTGTCGTGTCATGTAGGCATGTCTGCTTACACAAGATAACAGGGAAGGGCTGTGCCACCCATCCCTCCCCGATTGAGACACCTGAAGGGAGTTGTAACATTTTTCTTGTTTTGAAGTTATTGGTTTGTGAAATGCCTGCTTTGAAACTATTAGTCGTATAAGCGCGGGCTTTTGTGTAACGGTTGTGGGAACCTATATAATCTTTACCTGAAATTGCCTCAGGGTCGATTGCTCCAACCAGACCTGCGTATCTTGGAAGGACGGTCGGCCCCAGCTAGCTGGTTTAATAAAACTCTGCTTGATTTTTGCATCTCCATACTTGTGCATTTGTTCTCCTGAAGAGACCCACCGAGTCACGGACCCTAACAGCAGGCACTGCACTCACATACACAAACCCACACAAACACATATGTATACACACAATTGAAAACAAAATCTTTCAAAAAGACCCTTTTTCCATGTCAGGCTAAATTACTGAGAAGATTCTTGCTTATTTTCTATCTAATCAGATCTCTCTCTCCTTTTTTTTTTTTTTTTTGGTCTCTCTGACACAGGGTCTCCCTGCAGCCACAGCTGGCCTGGATTCACTATGGTGACCAGGCTGGCCTCAAACTCACAGAGCAGATCTCCTATTTTAAAATGATAAAATACAATGTAATCACTGATAAATTTTCTTTTATCCTATTGTTTTCCAATAGAAGTGAGTATATATAACTGTGTCCTAGGCATTAAAAACAACACCTCAAAGCTGCAGCTCCATAATAGAGCTCTGAGTGTTGACATTTTGTGTTTGTCAAAAAGAAATATTCCTATTTCTGTTTTTAATTTTTGACTTTATTTATTTATTTATTACTTATTTTGGTTTCCTTTTTTTGAGAGGGTCTCCCTGTACCCATAGCTGGCCTGGAACTCACTAGGTAGACTAGGCTGGTCTCAATCTCAGAGACTCACCTGCCTCTGCCTCTCAAGGGTTGGGATTAAAGGTAAGCGCCATCCCACCTGGATGATTGTATTGCTTATATGTATGTAAGTGCACCCGTGTCATGCCAGAAGAGAGCATTAGATCCCCTGAAACTGGAGTTAGGACAGTTGTTAGCCACCATGTGGGTGCTGGGAACTGAACCCAGGTTCTCTCCAAGAGCGGCCGGTGTTCTTACACTGAACCACCTCTCTAGCCCCACATATTCCTATTTCTAAAGAAAGAAATTATTCACGCAATGTGAAAATGGAAAAAATAACTACAGAAGTTTCAAATGAGGGTGAAACGAATGGAGAATCCCATACAACATTAGTTTCATACCCAATCTTCTGAGGCCATTTATTTCAGGAACACATTTAAATAAGCATTTGCTTATTAGGCTAGGCATAGTGGCACATGCCCTGTGTGCTGGATAGCTTTAGTGTCAACTTGACACACCTGGGTTGAGGGAGCCTCAATTGGGGAATTGCCTCTATTGGACTGGCCTGTGGCCATGTCTGAAGGGCATCTTCTTGATGAGTGATGTGGGAGGGCCCAGCCCACTGTGGGTGGTGCCACCCCTGGGCAGGTGGGCCTGTGTTGCATAAGAAAGCAGGCTAAGCAGGGGCCAGTAAGCAGCATTCCTCCATGGCCTGTGCTCCAGCTCCTGCCTCCAGGTTCCTGCCCTGAGTTCCTACCTTGGGCTCCATGATGAGCTGCGACCTGGGAGATGTAAGACAAATAAACCCTTTCCTCCCCAAGTTGGTAGTGGTCAGAGTGTTTTGTCACAGCAATGAGGAACAAACCAGAACACCCTGTAATGCCAGGAGGCATGAATTCTTCACCAGCATGTGCTACAGAGAAAGTTCAAGGCCAGCCTGGGCTACAAAGGGAGACCCTGCCTCAAATAAAGAAATGACGGGTTGGAGAGATGACTCAGCGGTTAAGAACACTGCCTGTTCTTGCAAAGAACTGGGATTTTGTTCCTAGCATCCACATGGCAGCTAACAACTGTCCATAACTCCAGTTCGAGGGGATCCAATCCCCTCTTCTGACCTCCATGGACACTGCATGACACAGGTGCACTTATATACATATAAGCAATATACTCATACACATAAAATAAAAATATAATAAAAATTTTAAAAATATTTTATTATTTTTTTATTTTATGTGTATGTGTATATTGCCTGCATGTAGGTTAGCACACCTGTGTCATGCAATGCCCAGAGAGACTGTCAGGTCCCTTGACCAGGAGTTATGGACAGTTGTTAGCTGCCATGTGGGTACTAGGATTCACCCCTGGGGTCTTCTGCAAGAACAGTCAGTGTTCTTAATTGCTGAGCCATCTCTCCAGCCCCTAAAATATTTTTTTAAAGAAGAAATAAGAATTTTGGGCATGTTGATTATGCTTTTGATACTTAGCTGCTTAAGAAGATGCTTTAAGACACCGGGCTCCTGGCAGCAGTTTGGAAGACAAAGAAAATGGGACCCCTGGCTCACAGCACCAGCTCTCCAAGAACAACCCAGGTCATTCTTTCTAGTTTCTATCAGCCTTTCAAGTTTCAGTTTCTCACCTGCAAATTCAAGGTGTATATCAGAAGTCTTGGAAGGTCCCATCAGATCTAATGTTTCAGGACTTCTAGGTAGATATGAGCACAGCCTCCCACCCACATGGACAAATGCACATGGTCTGGGCACATGCACCACTACACCTGCTGTCTGTCCACGTGCCCCGGATACCATGCCCCCACCTCAGGAAGGGAGAGGCCCAGGAGTCAGGTTTGAGTTTTCTGATACTTTCTACCTTCCTTTCCACGTGGCAGGGGACCTCAGGCCTAACCGCTGAAGGCTATCTCACCGCTAAGGATTTGACTCTCTTGGTTCAGGAAAGACCACTGAGAACCAGGAAAACAGTAAGATTCAAGCTGGGCATGGCTGCAGAGGACTCGAACCCCAGCGCTGGGGGTTCAGGGAGCAGAGACAGAAGGACATCTAGAGTTTGCTGGCTGCCAGCCACACTGAGAAAATGGCAAGTCCCAAGTTCAGTCAGAGACTTCGCCTCAAAGGAGTAAGAACAGAGGGTAAGAGAGCAGGACGCCAGACTTCGTCCTGTGCATAAAATGTGTGTGGACCTGCAAGCACGCATGCATACACACGTGTACACATCATACACATACAACACACACAGAGACATACGCGTTAAGACATCAGGCAGCTACAGAGATGCTCAGTGGTTAAGAGCACCGGCTGCTCTTGCAGAGGACCAGGTTCAGTCCCAGCACCAGATGGTAGGTGACAGACATCTATCACTCCAGAGAACCAGGTTCAGTTCCCGCACCAGATGGTGGGTGACAAACACCTATCACTCCAGCTCTGAGGGCTCAGACACCCACTTCTGGGTCTGGGCACACAAGGAATACACATGGTACACATACATCCATGCAGACAAAATAAAAATAAATCTTTGAAAGAAAAAAAGACATCAGCAATTCAGGCAGCTCTGCAGGAGACCACCTCAGCCTTCCTTCTCTTCAGACTCTCCAAGCCTGGCTAGTGCATGGGAGCAAGCACTCACCGAACGCTCGCTCAAAGGAGTGAAGAAACAAATGATTAAAGAACCTCGGGAGAGAGGCAAGGCGGTGACGGTGGAAGGACCTTTGTTAAGCACATACACCTACCGTCACCCCAGTGCTAAAACACTGCACGACTCACCTGTCCGGTGTTCCTGAATTTAGATGCCATCGCCCCTGCAACAGCCTGGTCCACGTTGGCGCTGTCAAAGACAATGAACGGAGCGAGGCCGCCCAGCTCCATGGAGACGCGCTTCACAGAGTTCGCTGCGTGGTGCAGCAGGATCTGTGGGGGAGGGTACAGAGGGACCACTGTGAGCACAAAGTCAACTTCCAGGGTGTTACTGTTTGCACAGTGACAGCCAGCCACTGGCTTTGGCCAGCAAGGCCCCCGAAGAACCACATGAACTCATGTCTCCTCTTTTGTGTATCTATGTATGCACACGTGTGCACATATGTGTGCATGTGCAGGGAGGTTAGAGGTTCAAGTAGGGTGTCTTCCTCAAAACTCTCTATTTTTTTATGATTTATTTTTATTTATGTGCATCACATGTGTGCTAGTGCCCACAGGGGCCAGAGGGCTTTGAATTCCCCAGAACTGGAGTTACAGGTAGTTGTGGGCTGCCCAATGGGTGCTAGAAACCCAACCCAGGTCCCCTGGAGGAGAAGTGAGTGCCCTTAAGTGCTGACTCACCCTGCAGCTCCTTTATTCTTTGAGGCAGGGGCCCGCTGAACCAGGGGTTCACCAATGCCGCTGACGGGCTGGATGGCGAGCCCTGCAGATCCTCCTGCTTTGGTCTCCCCAGCACTAGGGTTGCAGGTGTGCGCCACCCAGCTCTCGACGTTGCTCTTGGGGACTGAACGTAGGTCCTCAGGCTTGTACAGTGAGCACACTGACTGAGCCATCGCCCCATCCCCAGGTCCATTCTCAACGTGACTTCCCGCTCAATTCCCTTGCTGGCCCTCAGGACCCAGCTTTCCAGGGTTAAAATGGGTTGGCCCAGGGCTGGGGCTGTGGTTCAACTGGTGCAGTCCTTGCCGGGCATGCCCCAAACCTTGGCCCTGATCTCCAGCACTGTATCAGTTAAGCAAAGTGGTGCAGGCTTATAATCCCAGCACAGGGAAGGCAGGAGGATCAGAAGTTCAAGGTCATCCTTAGCTACTTAATGAGTTCAAGGCCAGCCTGGGATATGTGCGACTCTGCCTCAAAGAAACCCCCAAACAACACCAATAAATGTGACTGGACCTTCCAGACCTTTGCCCTGGCTAGCCAATAAATTCTGTTTCCTGGGGACGGAGAGATGGCACAGAGGTTAAAAGCACTGACTGCTCTTGCAGAGGACCTGGGTTTGATTTGCAGCACTCGCATGGCAGCTAACAACTGTTCTTAACTCCAGTTCTAGGGGTTCTGATGCTTTCTTCTGACCTCTGTGGGCACTGCGTGACATGGGTGCACTTACACACAATAATACACTCATACACGAGTAAATTCTGCTTCCTTCACACACACACACACACACACACACACACACACACACACACTACTACAGCTTTTACCACTGCTGGAAAATCTGTATAAAATGGCCATCAAGATAAAACAGTATTTCCATACTGTATAATAGAAACCTGTAATTGATGCTTGTTCTCTTTCCGTAGGCTGCTTACCTTTCCTGTTGCTGTGGAGCCTGTGAAGGAAATCTTGGAAACTAGTGGATCTGTGCACAGGGCCTCGCCCACATCCTTGGCCTTGGATCTAGAGCAAGGAATGACATTGTAGACACCTGAGGGGATTCCTGCCTGGTTTGCAAGCTGTAAAGAGAAACAGCAAACATGTGACAAGATGTGTAACTGAAAAACAAAGCAAGCAGAATCAGAAATAAATAGTTCAATCAAAATGTAAGGTAGAGATAGACGTTGACCTTGGAGACAGAGTGAAAATATATTTACAGAGCCAGGTGTGGCAGTGCATGCGTGTAATTCCAGCACTTGGGAAGTAGAGGCAGGAGGATCAGGAGTTCAAGGTCATCCTCAGTTACACAGTGAATTCAAAGTCATTGTGGGCTACCTGAAATCCTGTCTCAAAAATGTATATTAGCTGGGCATAGTGGCACACATCCTTAATCCCAGAATCCCAGCATTCAATCCCAGCACTCAGGGGTCAGAGGCAGGCAGATCTCTGTGAGATGTAGGCCAGACTGGTCTACATAATGAGTTCTAGGCCAGCTGAGGCTACAGGGACACCCCATCTCAAAAAACAAAACAAAACAAAAGAGGGCTAGAGAGATGTCTCAGTGGTTAAGAGCACTGGCTGCTCTTGCAGAGGGCCCAGGTTTGATTCCCAGCTCCCACATGGGAGCTAACCGTAACTCCAGTTTCAGGGGATCTGAAGTTCTCTTCTGGCCTCTAAGGGCACTGCACACATGTGGTGCACTGACATACATGCAGGCAAAACATTTATACACCTAAAATAAATAAGTAGAAATATCAGAACTAATAAATCTTTCTCTCTCTCTCTCTCTCTCTCTCTCTCTCTCTCTCTCTGTACATGTATATTATTTTTCTTACTTTTTTTCCTTTTAGGAGTTAAGGATTAAGCCCATGGGTTCACTTGGCTAAGCACACACTCTACCAAGAACAGCTTGGGCTGCACTCCGAGCCCCCTAAATAAATACACACATATAAATTAAATATCGACATTAATGCTAACTAAATAAAAAATCTTAGGGCAAGAGTTTCATTGCCACCTCTGTTATTATTTTTCTTACTTTTTTTCCTTTTAGGAGTTAAGGATTAAGCCCATGGGTTCACTTGGCTAAGCACACACTCTACCAAGAACAGCTTGGGCTGCACTCCGAGCCCCCTAAATAAATACACACATATAAATTAAATATCGACATTAATGCTAACTAAATAAAAAATCTTAGGGCAAGAGTTTCATTGCCACCTCTGTTCAAACAGCCAAATGATAAACCTTGAGTTTCTTTGCAAAGAAAATTCCAAAACAAATTTCAAGAACAGGTTTCGGCTCAGTGGTCACCTCCAGGGTTGGGAGTGCAACGGGCATTCAGTAAGAACCAGGGAGGCAGGGCCGCCTAGTTCACTTCCAGGGCAGAGCTGAGGAAGGGTGGTGTAGACAGGAAAAGCTCAGCCAAGGACAGGAGTTGGGGTAAGAGTGGCTCCTGACCCCCTGGCACCTGCCCTGGGAATTGGGTAGTTCTTTGGAAAAGACATACCCTGAATTTTTGAAAGTTTTGACCCAGGACCTCCATCTGTAGTCCTTGTTGGCTTCAAACTAGTGGCCATCCTCCTGCCTCAGCCTCCCTAGCACTGAGAGCACTGCAGTACTATAACAGAGGGTGGTTTTGCTTTTCACTTCGTTTATGAGACAGGTTGGCCTAAACATGCTATGTAGGCTGGCCTGTAACACACAGAGATTCACCTGCCTCTGCCTCCCAAGTTCCATTAATTTCTCTAAATCTCCTCATAAAAACAATAACTATGAAACCCAGTTCATTGTATGTTACCCAGAAAATTAAAACAAGCAAGCCAAAATAAAACCAAACATTAGCAACAGCATCTATCAGAAGACCAAGCAGCCAAGTTTCCCTGCCAGCCAGAGATTACAAGTGGGTGAAGGCGCCTCTTCTGGTGATAAGACCCGGATGCGGGGTCGGCACCGTGAGGAGGCAGACCACGGTACAGGTCCAATGGACCCAAAGCACAACCGCGGGCCCCGAGTGGGCTACTCTGACAATCACAGATGCAACCAGAGTCAGAGCTGGAATGACCCAGAAATGTGGTAACAGAAGAACTGGGAGAGAAAAAAAGAGAAACGATGTCTAAGCTACAAGCACCTGAGGAGTAGGCACAGCGCAGCCTCAGTGAAGAGACCGTTATAACAGGAGATGATGAAAAGGACCCAAGATACGGTGTAAGAAGGGGCAGTGCATGGACTCCAGAGATGCTGAAGCACACCACGCCACGGAGACTCCTGACCATCTTTCTAAAAGATTCTACTGCTGTGTGTATCAGTGTTTTGACCATATGTACATAAGTACACCTGTCATGCAATGCCTGCAGGGCCCAAGAAGGTGTCAGATTACAGAAAGTTGTTAGCCACCATGTCAGTGCTAGAAACTGAATCTGGGTCCTCTGCAAGAGCAGTCGGTGCTCTTAACTGCTGAGCCATCTCTCCAGTCCAAAACTTGAACATTTTCAAAAGCAACATTACATCAGAACACGGAAAACCCATTTAAGAGCTTTAGGTAAACAGAATGTGAGTCAGAACTTTATACCCAGCCAAACTATTTTATAAGCCATAATGGGCACAGATCTAGAAACATCATTCCCTGGGCCTGGGAATCTGCTAAGGTATTGCGGATACTGCAAATATTGCTGCTGTTTCTGAACGTCCTCAAAATGTCAACGAGTTCAAGGTCTGACTTTCGTTCTTTACTGTTGGGAAGTGGAGATGGGGTGTCGTGGGGGGGGCCCTACTGGGAGGTGGGGCCTAAGGGCAGGAAGGGTCTAGTGGGAGGCCTTCTGTTTGTTTCTTTGGAGACAGGATCCTCCCAGGTAAACATGGAGCTTCTGATCCTTCTGCCTTGGCCTCCCCAGTGGTGGGGTTTCGGGTGTGGTGGTGTGTGTGGGCCTTTATGTCAGTCATTGGACGCAGGCTCCCTGTGGTGATAAATCTTCACTGTGATATGACGGTGTCTGGGATAACCCAGGAGAGGTTAGGCTGAGCACCCAAGAGCCCCCTGGACTGAGGACGGCACCACCCCCGTGGGCTGGGGTCCCCAGACTGAACCAAAAGGGTAAAGCAAAGAAGGAACTCAGCAGAGCACTGTGTCTATTTCACTCAGCCTCCTGATGGCAGACACTGTGGACCAGCCAGCTCATATCCTGCCACCATGATGGACTGCATCCCCAAAAACCATGAGCCCAAACAAAGCCTTCCTTCCAGGCTTTTGTCAGGTGCTTGGTCACAGCACCACACACCTCCAAAGGGCACTGTGGACCTGGGGTGCCTTCCTTTCTTCTGCTTCCTGGCTGTGGGGCGAAAGGCTCTGCTCCACCACACCATTCCCACCACGATGTGCTGCCTCACCACAGGCTCAAACCAACAAACCATGGCCTGGAACCTCTAAAACGATGGGCCAAAACAGACCTTTTCTCTTCATTAGCTGTTATCTCAGGCATTTCATTACAGTGACAGAAAGCTGGCTAACACAAACGTACAGAACCAACTGAGTAGAGAGGTGTAACCTAAGTGCTGGTAGTGAGCAAACCACCTGGCTTCTGGTGGAAGCAAGTCTGGTATTACTGCTTGTTTTTCTGTTGTGTGTATGGTGTGTTACTGAATTAAATGCAGGGCCTCAGGCATGCTAAACAAGCACTCTACCAGATGTAGATAGGAGCTGTATCTCCTGATCTGGTTTTTACATTTTATTTTGAGACATGAGGAATGGCCTATGGTTTAGGAAGAGTCGCAGTCCACTGTGGTGGGGAAGGCATGTGTTCAGGAGAGTGAGGCAGCTGGTCATATTGTGTCCGTAGGAAAATAGAGCGGACAGGACGTGGAGCCAGGCTAGGAAACCTCAAGGCCCATGTCCAGTGACCCATTTCTTCCAGGGAGGTCCCTAAACTTCCCAAGGCTCCACAGCCTTCAAGGACAGCTCTGCCAGTGGGGACCATGTGTTCAAACACACAAGCCTGCTGGGCACTTTCACATGCAAATCACTGTAGTGGTTACGTTGCCCAGGTTGGCCTTGAACATTCAATTCTTCATCCTCGGCCTCTCGAGTAGTTGGGATTAAAGACCTGTTTACTCTTATATGAATTCTTTGGCTGGAAGCAGGAGCCTAGTAAATATAAACATTAATTAGCAAGATAAAAGCATAAAAGCTGTAGTCGACTTATATGCACATGGTGACCTTCACGAGAGTAAAATCTGAAAAAGTGACCACAGCCTTGTGCATTCCTGCTTTTTAGACAAAGAACAATAAACATGTGAAGGAATGACTGGACAGTTCTAGGGATGCTTCAAAGAGGCACAGGGGCTGCAAAGCCTGAAACAACTATCTCACGGTCTGACAGCTCCAGCCTGAAGTCCCACATGTGAGTCTTTGGTGCCCAGTCCCTTCTAGCCCTTAGCGTGCGAAGGGAGACCTTGCCTTGCCACAGGTGGGAAACCTCAGGACACACGGCCATTTGTGATGTGGCCCTTCCTTGAGCAGCTGTGGCTCAAAATAACCGATATGCCAATGGGGCACTTCTGAGAAAACCCATCCACTGCTTCCTCACTGATGGCAGGGGAGGTTGAGTGTGAAGCACGTGCTGGAGCCTCTCTTTATTTCTGTAAGCACAAAGCATAAGGACATGGAGAAGGCTGGCGGTGGCTCAGTGGGTAAAGGCACTTGAGCAAGCCTGGCAGCCTGCGTTTGAACCTGGAATCCACATAAAGATGGATGGAGAGGAACAGCTTCACAAAGTTGTCCTTTGACCTCTACACGAGTGCCATGGGACATGCACCCCTCCCCACGTACATCATACACATGAGTGCGGGCTCATGCACACACATACACACACGCACACCAAATAAAATTTAAAAGGCATGGTAGAGCGAGTCCTGGGCATATCCAGGGAAGAGGGGCCCAGAGGGAAAAGCCAGTTTAATGCCCGAGCTGAGGGAGAGGCTGGGGGGACCCGAGAATGAGAGAAGCCAGAGCGGCTCCAGCAAAAGTGCGGGCTCTAGACTGAGAACAAGGCAGAGGGCACTGGAGCTGGGGAGGCAATGCAGGGCCTTGAGGCCACTGCAGGAAATCTCTATTTTACCCCAAGTGAGGTGAGAAGCCATCCTCGAGAGTCAAACAGAAGTGAGATCCGACCCAACGCAGACTAAAGTGCGGTCAGGGAGGGAAGACGAAGCTCAAGGCTGCTCTTCAGTCAGCACCTCCGAGGGCGTCGAAGCTGAATCCTTCGTGGCCACTGGTTGTGAGGAACTCACTGACGTGGACAGTGAACACAAACTCAGCACTTCTGTGAGAAGCTCAGGGTCACCGAAGTGGCTGCTGATGCTCTGGGTGACGAATGGAAGGATGTGGTCCTACTCAGTGGTGGGAATGGCAAACAAGGCTTTTCCTTGACCCACAGCAGAGTGTGCTTGCTACTGAGTAAGGGACGTTCTTATAGGCCAAGGAAGACTGGACAGAGAAGGTGCAGGTCTGCCCAGGATGCATCGTGGGTATCAATCTGAGTGTTCTCAACTTGGTTATGTAACAAAAGGAGAGAAGGGACATTCCTGGACTGACAGATACCACTGCATCTTGGTGGTTAGGGCCCCAAAGAGCCATCAGAATCCATGAACTTTTCAGTCTCTCTAAAAAGATGATGTCTGCCAATACTGACCACAAAGCCCTTGAACAAAGGTAAGAAGGCCAGGACCAAAGCGCCCAAGATTCAGTGTCTTGCTACTCCACACACCCTGCAGCACACACGCCAATGTGCAGCTCTGAAGAAACAACATAGCACAAAGACGAGGCAGAGCCCACAGAAGCTGCCAAACTTCTGGCCAAGAGAATGAAGGAAGCCAAAGAGAAATGCCAGGAAAGGACTGCCAAGAGTCCGGGAAAAACAACACCTTTGAGCAGAACAAATAAATGATCAGACTGCGAGTCTCAAAGGAAGGAGGGAGGGAGGGAGACAGAGAAGAAGCTAATAAAAAAGAAAGGTCCTACATATGGAAAACAACATTTTAGTGCAATTAAAGATGATGATGGATCAATATCACTTTTAGGGTATCAAAAAACGTGGCTCATGGGTATCTGAAAATTCCCTTTGTTTTTCTCTAAAAAGAGCATCACGTGGCTTAGAGGAGTTGCTGGGAGACTAAGGCAGGGTGCTCTGCATGCGATAGGAGAAGTCCAAAACTGCTTCTTCCAGTCCCCAAAGAACATCCACTTGTGGACCCAGCTGGCTCTGCACAAACACAGAGGGAGGCTCACCTGGGCCAGGGCCAGCGCCGAGTAGGGTGTGTCTTCGGCGGGTTTCACCACCACTGTGCAGCCGGCTGCCAGCGCGGCCCCCACCTTCCGGGTGATCATGGCACTGGGAAAATTCCACTGTAGGAGCAGAGGGAGGATGAGAGTGAGGTTTGCCTCCAGATCCGAGACAAAGCAGGGCAACAGCCCGTCACAGTTCCATTGCACAACCCATGGCAAACCTGTTTGCTGCTCTCCAGTGAGCTCTCACAACACCTGACCCCAGCCAGCTTGAGGAGTCAGGTCAAGGCTCACAGAGATAGGACAGTCTGGGAGCTCCATACAGCACCAAACCATATAGACCCAGGTGTTCAGTGAGGGCCATCTTGATCACCAGCCCATACAGACCCATATAGGTGTTTGGTGAGGGCCATCTTCAGTGGGATGTACAGTTTCTGTCACAACTCTGCATAGCTGCAGTTGTCTTGGAAAAACTGGCTCACAAATGCACACGGTGTGTACCAATAAAACTTTATTTATAAGCTGGAAATGACCTGTGGTCCTCTGGAGAAATGCTGGTGGAATGATTTTGAAAAAGGTCAAGATGACTGACTTCCCTCTATACACATATTTATGGGGAACAGACACCCACAGATCTATGACAACTTATTTTTACTTTTATTTGTATATGCGTATATGCACATATCACGTGTTCAGGTGCCCTGGGAAGCCAGAAGAGGGCATCAGATCCCCTGGAGCTGGAGTTACAAGGGCTGTGAGCCACCAGACATGGGTGCTGGCACCGAACTTGGGTCCTCTGGAAGAACAGCAAGAGCTCTTAATTGCTGAGTCACCTCTCCAGTTCCTTGACAACTTTTATTTTTACAAATTCTCATATAGTGCTCATTCTGTATTGGGGATTATCCTAAGCACTTTAAAGCTCCAATTAAGGCCCAGGCATGGTGGGACACGCCTTTAATCCCAGTACTCAGGAGGCAAAGGCAGGTGGATCTCTGTGCGTACAAGGTCAGCCTGGTGTACATAGTGAGTTCTAGGTTAGCTGGGGCTACGGGGAAATCCTGACTCAAAAAACCCAAAACCTGGCCGCCTTTAATCCCAGAACTCAGGAGGCAGAGGCAGGTAGATCTCTGTGAGTTCGAGGCCAGCCTGGTCTCCACAGTGGGTTCCAGGCCGGCTGGGGCTACAGGGAGACCCTGTCTCAAAAAGACAGAAAAAAAAAAAACCAAAAAAAAAACCAAAAAACAAAAACCCACCAAACAAACACCCTCCAAGTAACTAAATCTTTATAAAAGCTTAAGGAAGGCAGTTTTATAATTCTCCTTTACAGGTTTGGGGAAACTGAGGGCAGCACAGTTAAGTAACTTGCCCAAGATCACATGATCAGTAAATAATGAGCTTCAGGGCAGGCCTTGTGAGTCCTGGGAAGGAGGACTCTACCAGAACCCGTGCCGGGCAGGAAGAACAGCAGTCTGCAGACCAGCAGGCAGACCCTGGAGGGTAGTTAGTAGGGCCTAGGAAGAGTCCAGGAAGGGCCACAGAGAGGAAGCTGGTGCCCATCACATCTCGGCAGACCCATCCAGGTAGAGGCAGCCTCTTACTTCTTACATCTGGCCCAGTGCCTGGCCACAGGAGCCAAACACTTTGCTATTGATGACAACCACAAAGTAAACATAATGGGTTTCCAAAGACGGTACAAATCAAAAAGTCCCCTCTGAAGTCTACTGAAAAATGACAAGCTCCCAAAGACCTTTCCAGAGGAGCTGGGCAATGCCACAAAGATGCCTCAGGCAGATCAGAACAGCCCGAGTCCTCCTGCAGAGCACTCTGCTTCAGGGCATTAGCAAACCTGCACTCCCACACATGTACCTGACACTGTCACAGAGGACACAGAAACACACCTCTGCACCCAGGAAAGGAAAGAGGAAACCAGAACAGCTGACAAAGCTAACAAGAGAGGCGAACCTGCTCACCAGGAAGAGGAAGTGGTTTCCCACCTCCCTACTGTCTCCCACCCTTGGACTGTGCTGGTCCAGCAACCTACCGGTGTGATGACTGCAGCCACACCTACGGGCTGCTTGAGGACCAGGCCCCGCTTCTCCTTGGCAGAGGTATAGATGATGTCTCCGTAAATACGGCGGGCTTCCTCTGAGAACCATTCTAGAAAAAGGGCCGAATAGATAATTTCTCCCTGGGCCTCTTTTAGTGGCTTTCCCTAAATCAAATCAGAAGGACATAGGCATTACCTTCTAATTAAAACGCAAAAGACCAAAACAAACAAACAACCCAAACCAAAACAATGCAACTCTGTGTTTTTAAATTCTTCAAGGCTGCAAGAGGAGAGCAGCTTTCAGAATATTACAAACTCACAGGCTACCGGGAAACTTCTAGCTTTGGTGTGAGTGTGGCTGTGCGCCCCACCCTGCAGAGCCCCTGACACACACTCAAAGGCTGGGCAGACACAGAGCACTGTGTCTTCTAAGATCCTCCTAAGACCCCTAAACATTAAAGCATGGGACAATCACTTATTCTTTTTATTCTTTTTATTTTTCATATGTATGAGTGTTTTGCCCACATGTGTGTAAGTGTACCCGTGTCATACAATGCCTGCAGAGGCCAGATGGGGGTGTCAGATCCCCTGTAACTGGAGTTATGGATAGCTGTTAGCCACCATGTGGGTGCTAGGAGTTGAACCTGGGTCCCCTGTAAGAACTGCAAGTATTAACTACTGAGCCATCTCTCCAGCCCCATAAAATCACTTATTTTAACTATGAAGGCACTAATGGAACATTAATAATACACCTGGATCACAGCAGCTGGGTTAACTGCACAAGACCTGCAGAGGATCAAGCCAGTCAAAGTTCCATCATGGATGGGGGAGGGGCACAGGAACCCCCATCCCTAGCTGAGGAGCTACTGACAGTGGACAGCTGCTGGGGGAGGTGGAGCAATTGTTCTTGGAGGTATGGCCACTGGTGGGTTGCCCAAGCTCCACTGGATGGCCCCATGCCATGTGCATATGGACAACACTAATCAAACTCAGTGGTTATTAAAAAATAAAGAGGATGTGAGATTGGGAGGTGAACACATGGGGGTTCCAAGGGGAGCTGGGTGAGCAAAGTGTGGGGTTGATAGAATAAAAATATATTATATACATGGATGAAATTCTCAAAGAATAAAAAAATTTAAAGAGAAAAAACTGGAATGATGAAAAATCAGAATTCATATAGTTCTAAACAAAAATCTATTTCTGCATATAGCAAAGATTATGCTAAAGCACATGGGGCTTGTTTTACGGAGGCTGAAAAGTTCAGTGGTTAGGAGCCATGGCTGTTCTTGCAGAGGACCTGAGTTCAATTCTCAGCACTCACATGGCAGCTAACAACCATCAGTAACTCCAGTTCCAGGGATCTGACACCATCTTCTAGCTTCTGAGGGCACTGCACACTCATGGTGCACTTACATACATGCAGGTAAAAGACGCACACATGCCTTTAATCCCAGCACTTGGGAGGCAGAGGCAGGTGGATCTCTGTGAGTTCAAGGCCAGCCTGGTCTACATAGTGAGTTCCAGGACAGCTGGAGCTACAGGGAGACCCTGTCTCAAAAAGACAGCCCCCCTCCGCCGCAAAAAAGTCTGTTTTAACAAATCTGACTTCTGAGCACTGTACTGACTTGGTCCCTCATCTTTAGTCAAAGGATCATGTGTTCTCCAGCCTTAGAACAGTAGTCACAGGAAGTCAGAGGCTTTCCCTAGAGCTGTTCTAAATGTTCCAGGACAACTGGGGCAGCAAGCCAGGATCTTAACTTACACTCTCGGCTGTGATGATCTTGGCAAGATCATCCTTATTTTGAATCATTAAGTCGTACCATTTCCGAAGCAGTGAACTCCTCTCCTGAAAAAGACAGACAGGAAGTAAGCGAAGGTGAAGAGGGAGCTGGGGCTCAAACCCAGGGATTCATGCATGCTAGGAAAGCTTGCTACCAACTGAGCCACAATCCCCAGTCCAAGAGGAATAACCGGGTTTGCTTTAATCTGTCTGAAGAATCACCCAACTCAGTGAGCAAACCTAGCTTGTCATTGTGACATCACGATCCACTTGAAGATCTATGGTTTTCTTATTCCTCTTGTGAGCAGAGAGCCTTGTGTACACATGACACTCTCAGGGGCAGACGGACAGACATATTCCTTTCCCATTCTGGACAGGCTGACCAGCTGCATCTTCTTACCTCTTGGAGGTTTCGCTGAGGCTAAGTCCTAAGGAGAGGTATCAACACCGCCTTACAAGCACATACTTCAGCAACTGCATGTGATCTACCTTTACTGCATATGGTTCCCTCACCTGGATGAGACCTGGAGGCCTGGCTTTGAGGAGTCAATAAAAGTGAGCCAGTGGAGCCGGGGATGTGGCTCTGTAGGCAAAGCCCTGGTTCCATTCCCAGCTCTGCACAAATCTGGGCATGGCGGGGCACGCACTTGGGAAGTTTAAGCAGGAGGACCGGAAGTTCAAGGTCATCCTTGGCTACATATTTTCAAGCCAGTCTGGACCGCATAAGACCCTCTCTCAGAGGAAAAACAAAGAATGAATGACCTGCGGTGGTGCTGTGAATTGCTTGCCCGAAGAAAGGTCAGAAGCCACAAGTCCAAGAGCTGTTTCCACTCACTGTGTTCTGCAGGTGCCTTGTGCAGAGTGGGAGACTGTGGCTTTCCCTCCAGGAAGCAGTTTATTCACCCTAACACTGACTCCTGGACTCCTACCCAGAGTCTGCGCATTGCACACAGGGGAGCTCAGCCTTTACACCCCCCATTAGTTCCCCTTAACACTTTAGTCTCTGTCTCCGATATATGGTAACATATATTCTGACTGGATTTTGCTTGCCACAGGGTCATGACAGGCATAGCTGTGTACCTGCACTCAGGCACAGACCACACTGCACTGCCTTCCCTCTGTCTGGGGAGGGTCCCTGCCACAGAACCATCATAAAGTGCAAACCCCAACTTGAATCATCCTAAGTTGGGAACCGCTTGTACATCCTGGGTAAGAGGCTGTGTGGACAACCAGAGCTCAAACAGGTTTCAGAAATTGACAGTCATCTGCAGGGACCAGCCCAGCTCCCTCACTGGGCTAAGTGAAGTGATGGGTGGGAAACCTCTCTCAGCCAGTCCCTTCATCCATACCATGACTCACATGTACACCTCCCAGGAGCTTAAAAGGCCTAACCACAGGGACGCAGGGTGAGGCAACTGGGGTACCCCTTCAGTGGGTCTATCTAAAAGACTCCCAAATTGCATAACTCTTGTCTCTAAGGGGAAAAGAAAGTCCTTGAATCGTGACTAGGAGATGTGAAGGAGAAGTAAAGGCAAGAGTAGTTAGCATTATAAGTTCTAGACAGAGGGGGTTGGGGATTTAGCTCAGTGGTAGAACGCTTGCCTAGCAAGCGCAAGGCCCTGGGTTCGGTCCTCTGCTCTGGGAGAAAAAAAAAAAAAAAGACAAAATAACAAGTTCTAGATAGGGAACCAGAAAAAGATCAGAACAGGGCAAATTTCAAATGTTCATATCAGAGTCCATTGGAATTCTTGACGGTTCAGCATGGAAGAAGCCGAGTGGTCTCCATCCTGATTCCCCATCAGCAATTTAGGGAACCTCTTCAGAGGATGGTGTGATAAGATGGGAGGTAGGAACTGGCTAGGCAGTTAGGGTAAAAAGACCCCAAAGAAAAACAGCCAGTTTCTTGGCTAAAAGTCACAATGTCCTTGGGCCTCTTAGCAATCTACTCTGTTCCAAAGGCCAAAAATGTCAAAAGTATTTGGGAGCTCTTATCTAATCCCTAAAAGATTTTAGGGTTACCTCTTCAGAAGGGGGAATGTTAGAGTAGCAAAAAGCCCCATTAAAAAAAAAAAAAGAGTACATGATGTTATCAGAAAAAAGTGATGGGGAGACATGGGAGGAGTTGGAGGGGAGGAAGTGGGCGTGGATTTGATCAAAACACCTTATATGCATGTCTGAAATTCTCAATAAAGTTTGTTTTTTGTTTTTTTTTTAAAAGGACTAACCACCTCACTTGGGAGGCACTAGGAGCAGAGCTTCAAGGAGCTTAGCTGTGGTGGGGCGAAAGAGATGTCCTGTCCCAGCACCCGTCACACCTACTGGGATGACAAAGGCAATTTTGCTGGTGTGATCAAGGATCTGGAAGTGGAGATTACCCTGGATCATCAGGCATGCCCAACACAACCGTGAGAGTCTCTGTAACAGACTCAGAGTTAAAGTAAATGAAACAAGAGGGGCAGAAGTCAGAGGGGACAATAGGTCACAGGCCAGGGCATAAGGAAAACTTCTAGAAGGTGGAGAAGATGGGAACAAAGTGCTCCCTAGAGCTTCCAGGAGGAACAATGCCCTGAGCACTGTGAACCTCTGACTTCCAAAACTTTAAGGAAAATTCATATTGCCACAAGTTACTGAGTTTGTGGAGATTCTTTCAAAAAAATTTTTTAAAATTATTTTTAATTTATGTGTATGAGTGTATTGCCTGCATGCATGTGAGTGCATCCATGTTGTGCAATGCTGTAGAGGTCAGAAGAGGGTATCAGATTCCCCTAGAACTAGAGTTAAGGACAGTTCTTAGTCGCCATGTGGGTGCTGGGAATCAAACCCCGGTCCTCTGCAAGAGGAGTCAGTGCTCTTAACTGCTGAGCATCTCTCCAATCCCATGGAGATTCTTTACAGCAACATAGGAAACAAATATATTAGTGTTTATGGTGATCAATACATGTAAGTCCCCTTCCCCTCATGTTGTTATGGTTTGAATGAGAAGTGTCAGCACAGGTTACACAGAGGTACACGGGTGGTACTGTTCTGGAAGGCTGAGGAACTGTCAGGAGGTATGGCTAGGCTGGAGGAGGGGGAGTCACAGGTAGAGGGTAGGGGAGTCCACAGTTTCCAGGGTTACAGCCTGGTCCCACATGTGGTTCTGTTCTGTTCCCTGCTTCCTGGTCTGGGGACCACATGCAGAGATCCACAGCTCCAGCCACATGGAGCTGTGTCACATGCCTTCCCTCCATAAGGGAAACTTCCCTGAAACTTTAAACTCTTCCTTAAGCTGCTTCTGTCAGATATTGCGATGAGAAAATTAACTAACACTCCAGTTTACAAGGTGGAAAGGTCATAAAACACACTAAAAGAAAGATGTGACGCCAAGCAAAAGACGACAAGGTTTATGGAGCAGTTCTGCTGGTTTGGAGAAGGGCGACTCACAGAAGTCTGAGTGGACTGGCAGGCTCAAAGGCGGGACTTACACATGAGCTTCAAGAACCTTCCAGACCAGGTAGGCTGTGACGGTGGGATGTGGATGCGCTTAGGGAAAAGAATTCAGACTCAGGGAACAAGACAACCAGGAACACCCAGAGGCGAGAGAGGGTGTCACCGACAGCACCCACTCACCTTTCAAGAAGGAAGCGTCCCTAAGGAGACTCAGGCTCTTGTAAGCCAGAAGCCAACGTGTTCCTGCTTAAGGGGCTGAGGCATTAGGATGGGGCTATGGTAGGTCCTCAGAGTGATGTCAGAATCAGAGGCCCCAGTACCCTGTGGTCGCCAAACTACCAACAAAACTGCAAAAGCTCCCCACACCACTGGGGGTGGCTTTGAAATTTGTGAGCAGCTGTGAATCTCTAAAAATGTTGGAGCTCCCAGGGTCAGGCCTGCCCCCCTTTCCTGTCTAGTTTCATAGCTGTGAGTGCACATATGGTACCCACATGGATGACTTACATGTTTGCTTCTGCAGCCCAGGGCTTGGTTTGGTTCATACATCCATCCCCATACTTGGGTGTCCACAGGACAGCTCAAGATCTTAGAGGCTAAGGTCCCCAGCCGAGCTCCATCACCTCTCAGTGATGCTTTGGTGTACACACTCTTCCCCAGCAGTGGGTAGGTACTCTGCCCTTAACAATCACTCAGGCCCAAGTGCTGAGACCTCTTTCTGTCTCACACACCTTAATAACACGTCAGCAAACAGAATCAGCTCTACCTTCAAATTATGTCCTTTATAAGACCACTTGACAATACCTCCACTGTGACTGCCATAGTCCAAGCCACCAAGACCTCACAGAGGTCAAGCTGTGTCCTCTGCTATGGTCTGGCTATGTCCCTGCCCTCATCCTGGGTTCGATGTGTTGGAGACTTGGTCCTCAGTGTGGTGATGATAAAAGGCAAAGGTTATCCAGTGATCCTTAGGTCAGGAGTATCCTTGGAAGGGATCAAAGTAATTCTCATGGGACCCCCAGTTAGTTCTTTTAAAATATTATTACTATTACTGATTGTGTGTGTGTGTGTTGGGTACATCTGTGCCATAAAGCATGTGTGGAGGTTAGAGGGCAATTTTGTGGAGCTGGTACTCTCCTTCAACCTTTACAAGGATTCTAGGGATTAAAGTTAACTAGGTCACCAGGCTTGCAAGGCAAGTGCTTTTACCTGCTGGGCCATCTCACTGCCCTCTGAATTAGCTCTTTAGAAAGTGAGTTGTTATCAAAGCAACTGTACCCCTGAATTGCTCTCTGGTTTCCTGTCTTGAGATGTGGCCTCTGGCTCCCAGACTTGCTTGCACCATAACACCCACTGCTAGGGTCTTCATCAGAGGCCAAACCCATGCGGACCAGCTGATCTTGGATTTCTGGAAGCTGAATCCATGGGAAAAACAAACTTTAAAAACAGTGGCACACACCTTTAATCCCAGCACTTGGGAGGCAGAGGCAGGAGGATCTTTGTGAGTTTGAGGCCAGCTTGGTCTACATAGTGAGTTTCAGGACAGCTGGGGCTACAAGGAGACCCTGTCTCAAAAAGACAAAATTAAAAAAAAAAGTAAAGTTGGGGCTGAAGAGATGGCTCAGTGGTTAAGAACAGTGGCTGTTCTTGCAGAAGACCTGAGTTCAAATCCCAACACCTACATGGCAGCTAACAAGTGTCTGAAATTCCAGTT